TTTTTGTCTTCTTAGGATTTTGGTATAGTTGTCAAATGCCTCATTGTCTTATCCTTGGTATATTATCAACATAATGATTAATATCAAATGAAACAACATTTAATAGAATTTATTTAAAAAGTCTTTTACCATACTTCTAATAATCAATCATATTAAATTACATGAATAGATTCTATATCAAGGTATTTCAATAGAATACAAAATTATGTTGAATTAACATGTCAATTTTCAACAGATAATATATATGATTTATTACGTTTTATTATATCTATATCAGAAATAATTTATATAAATATATTTCAAAAAAAAATAAATAAATCATTTCTTAGTTCTAAAACAGATCGAATATAATATTATCTCATACATTATGAATATTTGAATATCTTTCTAAACAACATAGTTTAATTGTATCAAATAAATAAATTAATTCTTAAATTTAATTCAACCAAAGAATAGATCACTTATAAAATTATTACTTTTATTATTTAACAAGAAAAATAAAGTATATATTTATTGAAATGATTTACCTTGTATACCTATATTATTAATTTGTTTACTAATATTTAATTAATGTATACGTATATCAAGACAATGTTGAAGTTGGTTGATCATTAAGAATATAATTTCAAGGAAAATAACTTTCATTTTTAGCGTTCAATTAATTCACCATCAATCAATCTAATGATGAAAATGAACAAATAACAAATAATTTAATAAAAGAAAAAATTTTTGACACAAATACAACACAATAATAACAAGGTTCAAAAATAAACAAGATTTTTGTCTGTTCTTTTTTATCAGTCGTCCATATATGTAAAGACGTTCAAAATTAGATACAAGCTCAAATAATTTATTTAAAAATATTGAACAATTAGGTAGATGTGATTTATTGTCAGAAGAATTTTAAACTTTATTATACAGAAATCTAACTTATGAGAAAAACAAATTCATTGATAAATTATTAATTTCATCAAACAAAAAATCTTGTATTTTTCTAACTTTTATTTGATATATAAGTAAAAGATTATAGAATTATTTCAAATATATTCTGATTACTTGTTATATTCTTTTAATATAGTCTAAAATATGAGAAAGATTTTCTATCAATTAGAAAATTAGACTATGAACATCCCATCTTTAAAAATATATAATTTAGAGTTTATTTCATCGTTTTATTTTCTCGTCATGGTCTTTATTTAACATCATCATTAGAAATTCTAATTGAACTATATGTTCGTTGATTAATTAGAAAAATATATCTATTTCATTTATTTTCAACATCAAAACATTTATAAAGTTTATATAATCTATGTGATGAATATTTTTGTCATGATTTGGATGTGGGTGTAGGTATGAATATAAGTGTGCGTATGTTTGCGTTGTTCATTAGACACCAGAGACCGTCACAGGGCGTTTTTTTTTTGTGCCCTGTCCTGGACGATAAAACATAAAATATTTTTTGTCCTGCCCTGCCCTGAGGGCAGGGTAGTACAGGGCAGGACACCCTGAGGGCATTTAAATTGAATCTCAACTATAGGATGAATTTATGACATGATGAATAAATCTAATGGATTTTGTGTTCATTATATATGTCTTGTTTAAGTCATTTCAACAGAATATTATCCATACGTAGAAACAATCAAAAGTTCGTTTAAATTCTATGAAAACGATACTGTTTTTATATAATTATTATCCTGCTGAAATGCTATGTTAGTCTTTTTAAATCGTCAAGATTATTTTCAAATTTTTCTAGTCGATTAAGATTGAATAACTAATTTAAAAAAATAAAAATTGAAAAATATTTTTGATTAATGAGAAAAAATTTTTAAATCTTTTCAGTGAAAGAAAACGAAATAATTGATCAAAAGTTACGCGATAATCGAGCGAAAATGATGTCATTTGAGTTTATTCTTTGTAAAAAAAGACTGACTTTAATCCAGTATCTTCACTTCACTTGTACGGATCCAAAGAATAAGCAGGATAACTGCAGAAAAATAAGATATTTATCAATGAACACAGAGATTGTGATTGACTGAACGCTATCATTTTATCGATTTGCAGATTTTCATCGCTACTTACTAAGAGGTCGCGGTTTATTTTCTATTTGTTATAAATACTTTTGATATGATAACCGTGGTTAAACTTTTCTGAAGTGGGGAGAACTGTATTTTACAATGATAAATCAGAATGAATATCAAATCCATTAGTTCTGATGAAACCAATTGGAAAGACAGGATCATCACTGGTTGATAGAAGTTGATGGAATTCCATCGATAACAGATGTTTTGAAAGATTTCATTTAGCTTCAAAAAAGGCTTTCAAATAAACGTATGTGAAAAATTAAGAGGGCAAAAAAAAATTTGCCCTATCCTGCCCTGTACTTTTCTTTGGTCGCCCTGCAGGGCAGGGCAAAAAAAGAAGTTTGCCCTGAAGTGCAGAGCAGGGCAACAGGGCAGTCCTGATCTGATGACGGTCTCTGTCCCTGACCACGTGATTTCAGCTGAACCCCAGAATCAAAAAATTTGCTCAAATCTTCCAAAAACAACGTAGTCCAAAGTTCCCACTTTTTCATAAAAACTAATGACGGGGAGGGGGATGTCACGTCGTCAGTTATGTCAGCTGAGACGCAACTATTGGAAATGCCAGGTGCCACAATAATTGATTATGGCAAACAGCAATAATGAGATAAATAAGAATTGGATGTGAATGAAGATCCAATGATATATTGAATAAACAGCAAAGTGATGAGAGGAGAACTGCACAGGGCAAGGAAAAAGTAGAAGTTGAAAAAGAATAATAATATTAGTAAAAGAATTATTTTCTAGAATAGCAAGCGATTATATCTTTATGAATTAAAGTGTTACTGATGTAACCAATGACAAACAAAAAATATTGATATTAGACAGAAAAATATTAGGCGCAAACATTGAAAGAGAAGAGCGAATAAAGCTAAAGAGAAAAAGAAGTGCACACATACAACAAGTAGCATGATAACATCAGTGACGGTGGTGCCGTCACAGGGGTGACCAAACATTACCCTACTCTCATTCAGCCATCTAGCAAAAGTCACTTTATAAGTAATAGCTAGTTCTCATTTGAACACTACGTTTCTGAGAATTGTAATAGCGATATTTGTGATCAGTGCGGTCGACTTGATATTCCTATCTAATTTTGAAAGATTAATAAAAAACATTTTTTTTTTTCGAAATCCTGAGGGGAGTACGGGAAACAAAAAGTCAAAAGTGATTTCAAAAAAAAAAATGACTTACCCAGGTACGTAGGCCATATCAACCTTGTTACACACATGGAGTTACTTCTTGAAAATACTTTGGGTCAAAAAGTGGCCTTAGCATCACTTATCCTTTGAAAAAAATTGATATTATTTTAAAAATTTTGGATTTTTTATCATTGATTGTATGAATATCAATACTATAGATCGAATGATAATTTTTGAAAATCGTTTTAGATGTATAGAACTCGACAAGAGGAACATTTTAATTAGTAGAATGACTCGAAAATAACGTTTATTTCTCACAAAAATTAGGTTTTACTGGTCCCAGCTAAATTAGCTGAGTTTGCCAAATCACCCCGTATATTTTCATTGATTGCCGTCAAATCCCTCCGTGCGGAGTGATTTGACATAACTTTTTTTTTCAGAGGTGTTTTTGTAAATGATTGTGTTTGAATCCGGTAAAAAATTGAAAATTAAGATTAGTATAGACTTGTAGAGAAAAGATTGAGCTATCCAGTGATATATTTTTTTATCAAAAATTGATTTGAAATAGCTGAAAAAATTAGGTTTTATTGTTAATGCATAAAATACGTGGGATTGTCGAATCACCCCGCATATATACATTGACTGCCAAATCATCCCATGTGGGGTGATTCAGCACAGGTAAGAGTAGGTCTGGGTAAAATGACCGTGGAAAAGTTATTCGAAGAGATTTTAAAAACTAAAAACACCGTTAAATAGAAAAATGTTTTCTCCACATAGTTTGTACTAAAAATTTTTTCTATCATTTAAAATAACAAAGTTATGAGCAAAATAAGACAAAAATTCAAAATCGTGTGCCAAATTACCCTCATTACTCTATTTCCTATGGATATATTTTCTTAACCTGTTTCATTCATCTCAATAGCCATATCAAATAATGACGTAATTCGACGATAGGTGATTATACAGTGGACAGTTGCCTAATATCTTAGAGAATTTTTTCTGAACAATCATTTCCATATTCTCATGTTTTCTGCTTGTTTAAGAGCATCATCAGAAGACTTAGTTGACGTAAACAAATTCATCGAAACCCTCATATAAATTGAGGTGTAATATTCAACACCTTTTTTTCCAATGAAAATTAGTTAAATTTTAACATTTAGCACACATTTTGAAGCAGTTTTAATCAACCGATCAAGATTCTATCTTAATAAAGACGATCTCAGTGAAATTTGGTTTTTCTTGTATGAGAATTTATTTGGTAAGCCTCTACAAAATTGAATTTTGTAACATATGAGCTCATATTGAAGAGAAAACTGTATGTAGATAGATCCTGTTTTCTTTAAATTCTTAATCAATTAATTAAACAATTTTTTTTTCTTTATATGAATCAATAATAGATTTTATCTCCTTTTATTCCTTTTGATTTAAATAAATAGTAAATAATGCTAATCTATGTACGAGAAAATTAAACATCAATATGTTTAATAGTTTTCTTGTTAAAAACTTGTAAAAACGAAGAGAGTAAGATTGGTTGGATTTGTAAAGAAATTATTGAATTTCGGATAAGTATGATTATTTGAAAATCTTTTATGAAAATTGTTATTTTCAGAAACTTAATTAATCGCAATTTTTCGCACTTTCTTTCTTTGATACCAAAATATTACACAATAAATTAGATAGACTATTACATAAAGCTTAAATTAATGATATTCTCGCTATATAAATCAATAACTTTTAACTAAAATAGTTTTGCGAAGCACAGCCTAAAAAGACTGTTAAAGTATATAGACTGAGAATTTTGAATTCCTCTTCTTCTCTCACAGACCATGACAGACATAACCTTCACAGTGAAGTCTACGGTACATTTTGCGAATTTCTGAAAATAAAAAGTATAAGAATATTAAAAAAAATTAGATAGTTGTTATGTTAGACACCCTTCACTATAAGTGAAGCAGTTTGTCCATGTGTCATATTTCAATCCAACAGGGATTGTGCTAACAATTTTTTTCCATTGTTCTCCTAAGTCGTATGTTATTATGTGTGATTATTTTAATGTGAATACATATTTTGATATTTTTTAAACTAAATATAAAACAAATTTCTTCTATTTTAGTACATTCATTGTGCATATGTACATATCAATTTTATTTAAACAACAGTGAAAACAATCATAATCCATCTGTCTCTGCATAAAGAAAATAATCATACAAGTGTTTTGAATATCGAGAAACTTTAGTCGTACATAAATAATTCATTTTTGCACAATTAATACGAGTTGCATCTCTTTTAAAATTGTGTGTCACTTTCTTTAAAGTGAAATAGTCGACATAAAGAGAAACATTATTTGGCAAACACATTTTGGTATCAACTAGAAATTGTTCGACATAATCACGATGAGCCTTAATAAGATTAAGTTCAATAAGATGAGAATATTCAATAATTGATAAATCTCGATTGTCGTCTGTGAATTTTGTATATTGTTTATTCTTTTGTGGTTTTCGATTAATTATAGTTAATTCTTTCATAAATGGAAATGATTTTTGAATTCGAAGAAAAAATTCGTGTTCAAAAGGACGTTCATCAAATAATTCAACTGTGCGAACACATTTAAATAATCCACCTGGAAAGTTATTAGTAATATTTCTGTAATGTGTTATTTTATATGGATAAGAATAAATATGACATTGACTATATTTGCTTTTTTGAAAATAATCAACACAAGAAATAATTTGATCATCTTTAAAATCTTTGAATGTATTTTGAACATCTTCATTTGATCGTAATTCAGTTTCATTAGGAAGACGAATGGTTGAACAAATATTAAATATAAATTTATTTAATTGTGGCATATGATTAATAATAGTCTTTAACTCATTGCCATCAATAAATCCTTTATTGAGATCTACCACAAGATGCAAATCAAGTTTTTCTAAATTTAACATTCGATGTAGAAATGGTACAATTAATTCATCATAAACATTTGTAACATTATCACACCTTAACGAAAAACACCTTAAATTCGGTAGTTTTTCCTAGAAAAGAGAACAAATATTATTTAATTTGAATAAATTAGATATTAATCAAAGTAATTTACCTTATTATTGATTCTTAAACTCGAAGAGAGAATGTAACAAATATTAACATAAAAAGTACGAAGTTGATTGAAACATCCATCCAATAAATAAAGACAATCGCTGAAACTTTGTAGACAGATATGTAATTCTAACAGACTTGACGAGCAAACAGTTGGAGGTGAAAAATTAAATGATAAATGTTGATAGGAAAATAAAGATGGATTGAAATTCAAATATTGTAAATTGATGAACATAGTAAAGATATGTGTAAATAGCAGTGTATTCACATTTGGTGTTGAAATTTGTTTTTCACATTCATTTATATCGATGATAAGTGATGATATCTGATTTTTGAATAGATTAGTTAATGAAGTTTCATCTAAACATAAATAGAAAGATATTGAAGGCAACAACTAAATATTTTTTATATTGATCACATCAAAGCATCGATTCTTTTAGCCCCTTTTTAAAATTAATCATGTAGCATAAATATTAATACTTAGTGTTTTCAATTATCTACTCATTCAACTATATTTATGATTTAATAAAACAAGATGTGCTGATTTTTCATATAGTTTTCATTTGTTTAAGAACTAAGGCAAAACTGAAGTAAACTATCTTACCAGTAAAAAGATATTTAGCTCTTTCTACTTCCATATTATATAAACCAAGTCCATATAGATTAGGATAATTTGTAGAAAGAAGAATACGTTCCATAGACGATGATTCAAGATTGAGCCATTCGATTTTATCATAAATTTTAGGTAAAATTTGTAAACAAAATCGACCAAGTAGTGAATCACTGAATGGAGATATAGAATTATTTAACAAATGTGTCATTAATGTTAAACGACTTGTAAAAATAGAATCACATAGAATTTTATTTAAACGTTTATTGACATCTATTAAAGAGTAAAGTAATTCGGCATTGTCCAATTTTTTGAAAATAATCAAGAGAATTTCATCAGGCAAATCATTAAATTGAACAAATGAATATTTCATGTTTTTCTTCACTTATCGATTCTTTTTAGCTTACAACTGTCAATATATATATCTATATATCTATATATATTGTATGTTCCTGTGTTCTATTTGACCGAGAGCATTAATGAAAACAATGGTGGCATTTTTTTTTAGTCTAAATAAACAATGAATGAAATGAATGAATGAATGACATTGTTTCTCTCTCTCATTCTCGTTCGACATATTTGATATAATTAACATTTATTATTATTGATTGCTATTTATATTCGGATAACAAGAGATTTATATTTTAAGAAAACAATAAAGAGGTTTACTTTAACTTTTCATGTTCATATAGGTTTATGCAAAGGTGTTAATTTTCCATATTGATTTTATGTTAGACTACATCGGTAGTAGTTCATGTGTCGGAAAGCTCATTTTTCTGAACCTAACTTGACACAGTACCTAAATGAGAACAGAATTTTACAGTACTTTTTTCTGAACTTATTTCTGCCATTTTGTTATCTGTGTGATTATTAGAGTTACCAACAGGCCAGTTTTTTGTGGGCTTGTCTGGTCTGACCTGTAGGCTGATCTGGCTTGGTGACTTGCAGACCAGGTTCAAAGTAAAAGAGTAGCTTGTCATCTAGCTGCAGGCTACACTATAATTTCAAAATTCTGCCTCACCTGGCGAACGACCAGGAGACTTGCCAGGCAGGCAGCTCTGGTCACTTCATTATCAAACAAAAAGTCTTCTGGTGCAAGAGAGTTCTTTGAGTCTCAAGAAAGAGTTAGTAGAAGTCAAGTAATGTGGCGCCCAGTGATTTAAAAAATAAAAGAAATTTCATGACGTCCGTGAATTTAATGTCAAAAACATTAAAAAAAAGCGTTGCTGATGATGACACGGATATATTCTTTGATGTTTTTTCAAAATATATGGTCGTTTCATTATCAGAAATGCTATTTTTTCATGTTTTGACATTAAATTCAAGGACGTCATAATCTTTTTTTGATTTTTTAAAGTCATTGGGTGCAATCGGGTCGGGTGGATAACCGGATGCGAAAAGAATTGTCCGGTCGGGTCCCGATTTGAGATCATACCCACACCCGACCCAACAGCTAATCAAATCTTGATATTTTAAAAAATTTTGACTTTTTCAAGCTGCTCTTAATATAAAAGTATAGAATTGAAAGCCTGTTCGATCATGATCGAACAATAGACTGAACTTGAAAACAGATCAAAGGAGTGGAAAGCAATATTAATTTTACTAAGAGAATTCGTTTTTATTGAAAAATTATTCGCAAATGCTGAGACATCATGTGATCCAATAATTGAATATATTAAGAGGAAAATGAGCTTTCAGAAAGGTGAACATGTATTTTCATGTTGGGAAAAGCATTCACCTATGTATCAATAAGTATGGCGCTTGACGTCAATACTACATTCCATTATAGATTCATCAGCAGCAAGCGAACAGATACTTGGCGAAATCGAGCGAATTTCAGAAGTAGAAAGACATCACATGAGTCCTGATTTACTCGCCTTTTTTCGAATTTGAGATGAAATCTCTTTTTTGTTGCTATCTACAGGGTGTCCCAGAAATCCGTATGGAAAAAAATTTGAATATCTCCCTTACGGCTCGTTCAAATGAGCTGATTTTTTTTATCAATTCAAGAGGCATGTTCAAAGTTTATATCCATCTTGACATGCTTAGAGAGACCCTTTGTTAAGTACCACTATTGGTCTCAGCAAAAAAAATTTTACTTTTTCACAGATAGGAAAAAACCGATATATAGAGTGGTACAAAAGTCACTTGGCCGAAAAAAAAAATTGAATATCTTCACTAGGGCCCGGGCAAACGAGCTGATTTTTTTATCGGTGATAGAGGAATGTTCAAAGTTTATATCCATCTTGACATGCGTAGAGAAATCTTTTGTTACGTATATTGTTTTTTTCCTATCTGTGAAAAAGTAAAATTTTTTTTATTGAGACCAATAGTAGTACTTAACAAAGGGTCTCTCTAGGCATGTCAAGATGGATATAAACTTTGAACATACCTCTTGAATTGATAAAAAAAATCAGCTCATTTGATCGAGCCGTAAGGGAGATATTCAAATTTTTTTCCATACCGATTTCTGGGACACCCTGTATAGAAGAAACTGAATAATATTCTTGTTGGTACAAAGTAAAAATTTGAAAGCCGAATCACGACTGAAAATATCTTTTGAGTGTTGATTAGCTCCTAGGGTTGGGTGCCGGATATAGCTATCAGAGTCCAGTTCGGCTTCGGGTATAAGAAGACGGGTCTCGGCAGGGTTCGGGCAGAAAAAAAAGCGTCGTGTGGGGTTCGGGTGCAAAACGTCGTACCCGTGCAGGACACCCAAAGTCAAGGCACTATACACAATACATATTCGAAGTTTGCATCTTAAAAATTGTTGTTCTTTAATCATTCTCTAAAGCATACAAGTAGGAAAAAAGATAATCAACAGCGAGTAGCACTATTATAATTACACTTGAGTTTCTAAGTGTTTAAAAGAATTCAGTATTGCGTGCTTATGTATTTATCAATTGACTTCTTTGATATTTCAGTAAGATTATGATTCTTATTCAGAGACTGATCTTTTCACTTATTTTGAAAGTTAGTCGACTTTCCATTTTGAACGATGTCCGATTCGCATAAGGCTTCCTCATCAGGTTTAATTTTTTGTTCGATCATCTTGGAAAAACGGATTTTAAATACAGAATGAACCTTCTGTTAAAGATGACATGAACCTCTCCAATGCTATATATATCTACCACAAGTAGAAAAGCAATCGACTTGGTCTAGCCTGATATGTACATACAGATCAAACCAGGTCACAAGCCCAATGTTCGGTTTTGGTCTGGCTTGAGGCTATATCGGATCGACAAAAGGTGACTTGTTGGCAATTTTGATGTGCACTTCAGCAGTTAGTTGTATTATCATCAATCAATCGGCTACCATGATGAAACAACGATGAGAAAAGGCACTAAATCAAAATTCGCTTGCAAAACTTTTTATTTAATCGTTTTTCTTATTATATTCATTACCTAAGATACTATTGGCAGATGATGTCAAATACTTTTATTGACAGTATCTGCTCTGAATCGACATTAAATAGTGCAGTTGTTCGTTTTATATTACTACACTTCTTATGTATGTATTTCGCCAAAATGTGATGCCATCGCATGTTTTATGAAGCGTGATGAGGTACTTTTTTGAAAAGAACTTTTGAAAGTTATAAAAACATTTGCCTAAAACACTATGTACAGACAACAAATTAATTCATAATGAAAGAAAAATAGAGGTATTATTGGTGATATCTGACGCAAAGACTTATATAAGAAACATAAATAGATATATTAGCTTAAAAAATATTTTGTTCTACGCAACAAGTTGGAAACCAAACGAAAGTTTAGAAAACATTTTTCTTCCATTTTCCAATACAAATTGGAGGTTGAACAAAAAAAAAACCAACTGATCGAGAAAATAGACTAGAATGTAGAAAAGTATTATCATATAATATTCCACAAAGTATCAGTTGATTTTGATTTCTTGAAATAAATAAATAATAATTTCTAAATTCAAAATCAAACATGATTATCATACGATGAAAAAAACACATTTCATTAACGAACATGCAACTAAATAATAAATTTAATCTCTAGAATGAATATGTTAAATTTGATTACTTCTTGTCTTCAACACATATTATCATTTCGATCACATACAATATAAATGATTGAAAAATAATAAACAAATAAATTTTCTTGAAAAGAAGAAACAACATGATCATCAATCTTTTACAATCATTCATCCTCATAAACAACTAATGTATTAGTTGAATCAAGAGAAAAGTTTTCACATATTTGTTTTTATTTAAACTAAAATATGATGAAATATATTTTTCAAATAAATTTTCTTCGGTTCTGTCTAAATATTCGTGGCGAAAACTGTGGTAAAGGAAAAAACAGGTTATTGACAAGTTATTCATCCAATTTGCTGCAAAAATATTTCAAAAGAGACGTATAGCTATTTAATCTCTTGTATAATGGTAAACTGGTGGACGATCAATTCGTCGCCGTTCAATTCGTCGCATTCAATTCGTCGCAATCAATTCGTCGCAATCAATTCGTCGCATGACAATTCGTCGCATATTCAATTAGTCGCATCTTCAATTCGTCGCATAACACGTCGTCGCGTGCTTCTCTCTTTCCAGAAAAAAAAGAGAAAGATGTTAATTAATTTAGAATTTTTATTGAAAAATTGAGAACATACAGAATGAAACACAAAAGAAAATAACAGAAAGTTGATGTTATTTACAATGACATATTAGAAGAAATATTTTTCAAGTATTGATCGATTTTTGATTGGTCATAACCAAGAACTAAAGAGAGAGGGAGAGAGATAAACATGCGACGACGTGTTATGCGACGAATTGAAGATGCGGCTAATTGAATATGCGACGAATTGTCATGCGACGAATTGAATGCGACGAATTGATCTAGTGCCTGTAAACTAAATATTTCAAAGAATTATAATTGTATCATTACGCTCTTTTCCTTGTTATATGAATATCGAAATCAATATTTTTGAGACACAAGGATACCAATCAATATTCTTTTGAAAGAAGAAAATTGTATCAAGCTAAATATGGCAATTTTTTCTCTCAAGAAACGAAAGGTAAAGTCTGTGTTACATGAGCAAAATAAAAAAAATAAAAAAAAAACTTATAATGATCTTAGATTTGTTGTTAGTTCTTTGTTCTATAAAAAAAAATGTTTATTTTTCAAGTTCAGAATCGTTGTGTTGTTTTATATGGTTATTTCCGACATGGCTTTTCTTTACGGACAAACAGCAAAGATACATTCAACATGTATACTGTTCTGGTATAAGATGTGTATTTTTATTATCAAAATGGGAAGACGAAACCACTCTTATACTGAGTAGAGAAAAATCTCTTCTCGATCATTTATATTCCTATTGGTGTAGATTTACTATACATCTCGCTCTATCACCACTGTGAAGCTAGCCTGACGACTAGAGAGCTGCGGGTCCTTCCAGATCCGAACCCGACCGGGTTCAGATCCGGCTCTGAAAATTTAGCTTTTGCCGGGTCCAGGTCCGGGTCCAAATAAATATGGACCCGCAGCTCTCTACTTTTCAATAATCGAAAAGTTTCAATTTAATGATCATCTAGTAGTGACAAAATGAACAACAAGGAACAACAATACATTCACTTTATTTTTAAAGTGACTAATGAAGAGCTAAAACCTTATATCTTTATCTGCTCATGTACACAGAGAGTGCCAGATATTGATGAAAAAAAGATCGGGTCTATACCCGACCGGGTCCGGGTCTAGATTCGACCGGGTTCTGGTCTGAAAATTTAGCTTTTGCCGGGTTCGGGTACAAAAAAATATGGACCCGCAGCTCTCTACTGACGGCCAATAGGATGCGCTCCACTCGTTCTCCAATCATAATGAACACGTAAAATACCTGAAATAATCCATAAAATACCAATAATTTTCCCTAGCAACCAGCGATATAGAAAAAAATATATACCAAAGAAAAAGATAATATTACTAATGCTACCACCGAAAACACTATCAGAATATCTGTGCCAACTTCCCAATCATATGAGGATGTACAGCATGTGGAGATGTTCAGAAATATGTTTCCAACTGTTTCTAAAATCCCATCATATGCTACAAAAAGCTAACCCAGGTCGAAAAGTACCGGCCGGTTCCGACAGGAAAACACCGGAAATCAACGGAACATGGAAGCAGTATTCCGGCCGGAAATTTTTCGGATTTTTTTCCGGTGGATTCCAGCCAATTCCTGTTCTTTCCGGCAGGAACCGGCCGGAAATCCGCCGGAAAAAGTCCGAAAAATTTCCGGCCGGAATACTGCTTGCATGTTCCGTTGATTTCCGGTGTTTTCCTGCAGGAACCGGCGATTTTTCCGCGTCTTTCCTGCCGGTTCCTGCAGTATCCGGTGACCGGAACGATTGACCTGGGAAGGTGACGTTAATATTAATACCACCAACACGATCAGGGCAAATTTGTGCTAACTTAAAAATCATATGAACATGTGCAGCAGCTAGAGATGTTCAGATATATGTTTTTAACTGTTTCAAAAATCCCGTCCTATGCCACAGAAGATTAAGATGATGTTAGTAGTAATACCACCCACAACACCATCAGGAAAAATTTGTGCTAACTTTTAAATGGTATGACGATGTACAGCAAGTAGAGCTGTTCAAAAATATGTACTTCACTAATTCGAAAACCTCGTCACATAGTAGCACAAATGAAAAAAAATATTACTATTAGTACTACCACCATCATCATCAGGAAAAATTTGTGCTAACTTTTAAATTGTATGAAGATGTACAGCAACCGGAGATGTTCACAAATATGTATTCAGTTAGGTCAAAAGCCCCGTCAAACATTAGCACCAATTAAAACAATATTAGTAGTAATACCACCACCAACATCATTAGGAAAAATTTGTGCTAACTTGCAAATCATATCAAGATGTACAGCATGTAGAGATGTTCATAAATATGTTTTTAACTGTTTCAAAACTCCCGTCCTATGCTAAAAAAAATTAAGATGATGTTAGTAGTAATACCACCACCACTACTAGGAAAAATTTGTGCTAACTTAAAAATGATATCACAATGTGCAGTAGCAAGAGATGTTCAAAAATATGTATTCAGCTAGGTCAAAAGCTCCGTCAAACATTAGCACAAAATAAAAGAAATGTATTCTGAAAACAAACCACTGGTCTTATGTTACTGTATTCTTTTCTTTTTATTCTTTTTCTCTCTGTTTTTCTTTATACTTTTATCAATGTGAACCACTAATGGCACAAATTAATTGTTATATGAAAAAAAAACAAAAAAAGAATCGTTTATTGTTGACCTTGTGTATTATATGGTCCACGAGCAAATGTTCATTCTCAAGCACAATATGGTCAATTTTATCGACCAAGTCGACCACCGACTGTTGCACCACAATATTATTCTGCTAATCGTGGACCTGATGTATAGTATGGTGCATAAATATAATCATAATTTTGTGATTGAGATGGAGCAACACTTGGTTGTGGATTTGGTACATCACGTGGTCCACGATCAGGTGCAACATGTTGTCTTTGACGAGCAGGAGCCGGGTGACGCCAACCAATAGCTGCCTGTGCACCTTGTAGATAATCTTCTCGATCACTAGCCAAAAAAGAAACGTCTGTTGACGACGAACTGAATTTTGTTTGTCCTGTACTTACATAAAATTTTGTGCTGGTTCACCTCGAAAACTTGTTCTTTTTTTGTGTGTAGGACCATGGTGTTGTTCTTGTTGAGTATTAGATTGTTGTTTACCACGTTCTCTATTCAAATTGTAGATTTTTCGTGATACTTGGCCCAATGTTTGTTCCAACTCGCGAATAAAATCAGGTATTTTATCGTTTACCAATTGTCTACAAATTAAAACTTACTTTCAAAATAAAATGATGAAAAATTCAATTAAATTTACCGATTTTTATCAATATGATCATCAATAGCTACGCTGAAACAAAAAGGACTTCCATTAACCTAAAAAGAAAACAAAAAAAAAAAAAAAATCAGCAATAATTGCCTTTGTATAAATTACCGAAAAGTCAACTTGATATTGACCATTTTCCATACGATGTACTGATTGTGTTTTAATGCCGGATTTAATTAAATTTATTACAAGTGTATCATTTGCTTCTCTCACAAAAGAAACAATCTCACGTGTCTAATAAAAAAAAATAAGTTTACAATTTCGATTTAAGGACATTAGTTCTTACCGGTCCATCGAGTTCAATTACAAAACCATTTTTTATTACCGTGTGAACGAATAAAACAATAAGCTGATCGTCTCGTGACGCATAATATGGATCATAAAAATATAATAATGTTTCTAAAAATGGATAACCTTCCATATCTAGAGATTAAAGCATGATAATTAGAATATTCAACAAAAATAAAAAACAATAAAGACTTATTAAGTGCCGAATTTGAAGAAAGAGAAATCTCTATGGGAGGCCGGAATTTCGGCCCAAGGAATTTTCGTCCCGGACTTTCGGCCCGGAAAAAAATTTTTTTTCATCTTAAAATCGAATGACACTCAGTCTAATATTTATTTTCTATCGTCCCGGACTTTCGTCCCGATACAAAATAAATATTAGACTGAGTGTAATTGGATTTTAAGACAAAAAAAGAAATTTTTTCCGGGCCGAAAGTCCGGGACGAAAATTCCTTGGGCCGAAATTCATGTAACTCATCTCTATATTTAGAGAAATATAATCGTTCATACAAAAAAAAAACAAAAATTTATTATATTCTTACTTTATTATGCGCAAGTAAAAGACAATTTAAATGTTCATGTTCACATGCTATATCATATTGTGGTAAACGATCACAAAGAAATTGAACAAATGTTACAACTTCTTCATGCCATGGAACATTAGCCATTGTTAAATGACTTGCATTTGAATCTCCACAATAAGTAACACCCTAGAAGAAAAATATGTTTTTTGAAAAATCTTTTTTTCGATTAACAAAAACTTTTTAACATACTTTAACTTCAATGAAATCAGGATGACCGAGTTCAACTAATTTAGCATATTGTTCAATTTCTTCAGTATTATAATCTTTAACTAATGTTAAACGATATACTGTACGTTGACCCTATAAAAATATCAAATAAAAACAATTTTAATAAAACTCCTTTTTGTTTATTATTACTTTATCTTTTAATGCTCGTAAACTATCTAAAAATCGTTCCCAAAAATCACGAAATAATGGACGATCAATTCTTTTTAATGATTCTTTTGTTGCTGCATCAACACTAACATATAATTGTGTAACTGGTTCTAATGATTTTATTTCATCAGGAAATTGTGCATTAGTAACAAGAAATGAACTTATTTGTTTTGAATGAAGTAAATCAATTAATTCATTTATATGCGGATACATAATTGGTTCACCAACAAGTGATAATGCACAATGACGAATTTTCATAGCTGAAAAATATTAATAGGAATCTCGTATATGTTTTTCTTTTAACGAATATATTAGTTAAGAAAATTTTGTAAAAATGAAGATAGATTGTCTTATTCGTACTGTTGATTAAAATTTTTTATCAAATACCTTCAGCAAGTCGATTAGGTAATACACCAGGTACACCTTTAAATGTATTAATTATTTTATAATGATTTTCCATAGCACCTTGACATACTGTTTGAGCATCATCAGTTTTCCATTGCCATGATGTACCAACTGGATTTGTATGATGTCTATTATATTTTTAAAAAAAAAAAGTAAAAAAAAGTTCTTTTTTTCTTTAATTAATTTACCTCCAACAAAAAACACATTTATTTGCACATGCAAGACTTGGTGTTGTTTCCATACAACGATGACTTTCAATTCCATAAAATGTATGTTTATAACATCCTCCACGTCCTCTTAACATTGACTATCAATAGAAAAAAAAATATTTATATTAATTCAAATTTAATATTCAATGTGTATATATATATACCTTTGTCCATCGACATAATTCAACACCGGAATGAGTACCAATTAATTTATAACATTGTTTTTCTAATGATTTACGTATTACTGGAGTAATCATCTCTTTTGGAGGACCTTTGGTTGTCTAAAAAAAAAAAAGAAACAAAACAAACTTTTATCTATAGAAATATCTCCGTAATAAATATTTTACTTTAGTTGGTGAATGTGTTGCCATATAATCTCCCATATCTTCTAAATCCATAATATCATCATTACCATTTTTACATCCTTCATCTTCATCATCATCATCACTTTCAATTCTCAATTGTTCATCATTCTCCTTTTTCTAAAAAAAAAACATCAAACATTTCAAAATTTTTAAATAAATAATTCTATTAACCTCAATTGGATGATCATTATTTGTTAATGATTGACAACACTTTATTGAATTCTCATTTGAACAATCACATTTGTCGGTTTTTGGTGATTGAAAAGCTGATTTCAATTGAGATGACCATTTTGAATAATGTCCTTCGCGACCTAAATTACTAAAAAAAGAAAAAAATATTTTAAAATTTTTGCATTAAATTAATCTTTACCTCCATAGATACTTTTTCCCGAATTTTCATCAGCTAATTCAGTTGGTATCAATTTTTTAGCTCCTAATTCTGATAAACATCGATCAAGTTCTTTTGCTACCTATTGAAAAACAAATGTTTTATATTTTCATGTTTTTTTTTTTGAAAATTTTATGGATTTACTGTATTAAAATTATCATTATAAAATGAATTTCCACATCTAAATATAGCATAGGTTAATTTTTCAAGTTCATTTTTTGAAACACGAAAATCAGTTGCAGCATCTTGTAAATGATTAACAAACCATTTAGCTGATGGTGGTGGTGTATCATCTTCATATGTTGAAATAAATATTAATAATTTTCTTTGATTTTTAGCCTTAAATAAATATTTAAATTAATGATAACAGAAAAAAAAAATAAATAAATACTTGTATTTGAAGAAATTCTTCTGGATCAGTAATATCATTTAAATCTTGAAGAATAACTTGATAATTTAATTCTTTCGATAATTTATCATAAGTTAATTGAGCAAATGTCTGATATGAAAGACAAAAAAAAAAAGAAAGCAAATGATTGTATTTTTTGAATAATAAATAAATCTTACTCGACAATTTCCTGTAACTGAACCAAAAACAATTGTAATTCCATTTTTTTCTTGACGAATTATTTTTGTTAATGATTGCAACGGCTTCGATAAAGATTTCTAATAGATTCAATCAAATTTATATGAATTAAATTTTATTGAAAAATTACTTACAAAACGTTTTATAATACTCAATGATAAGAAAACAACAAAGACAAATGTATACAGTGGAATCGCAAACAAATGCCAAAGTGACCATTCTGCTCCTTGAAAAGATAAAATATTTAAATATCATATTGAACCAACAAGGATGCCTTAGGAAGGCTAGTCAAAGTCTAAAATGCTTCGTCCCCCATGAACCTTTGGAGCCAAATAATGATCACTTTACGGAATTTTCACGTGAAATTTTCTCCGTAGATTGGTTTAATGACGTTTAGAATACCATGAAAGTTTTAGCCGAAATGAATAGTTCTTTTTTTTTGTCGAGATATTGAATTTTCGAAAATAATCGTTTGCCGCAAGCATGATACAACAATCGAGTTTATCGAAATTTCAATACTTGTTTAGTTACTTTCTGAACACTCTATACTAATTAAAGTTTCAATTTCGCAAGAAACTAATTAATTAATAGCCGTCTTCTATTACACCCGATGTATTGTTCCTCAAGGGAGTATTGCTAAGGTGTCTGTCTCAAACTTTTACCGCTATACTTCAACACTCATGTTAGATCATGTTTCACAAAAACTTCGAAAATTATTCATACCAGCCAAATAATAAAATACCAGACCCGTGAGAGCCGAACTAGCTGCAAATATATAAAGATCAATTGTCATCTAAAAAACAATCATGATTCATTTATAATCAAAACATAGGGTTTTCTATTTTTTTTTTAAATGATAATCAAAAAACCAAAAGGGAAAAATTTTTATGATGATGGATTTGGAATATTTTTTAAAGCAAGAAGTCCTGTATCAGCTGCTGATGTTTTAATATATTGCTGAATTTGTTTAAATTTTGGATGACCAGCATCTTGTGTTAATTGAAGAACAATTGATTCAAATGTTGTAAGAAAAGCACCGGCTTGACGCATATGATCAAATGCATACATTCTAGACAAAAAAAAACATTTATATAATTACATAAATTTGAATCAAAATATAAGAATACCTATCAGTCAATGAACGTGATGAAACAGCATCAACAACAACATAAACACGATGATTTTGTGATAATAAATCAATAGCTGTTTGAAGTACACATGCATGAGCTTTAATACCACATATAATAGCCGTATTAAAATCTATACAATCATTAATATGCATAAGTATTACAAAAAAAAAATCACACATTTAAAGATAAACTACCCAGATTGACAAATACGAAGTTCGTATATACCTGTAAACGACCACATTTTGACGATTTACATGGTTCAATATTACGATTGTATATCATCGTGACCGTATATATACGGTCACGACGATATACGATTGTAATATTAGATCATATGATTCGTCGTATACGATCGTGCTTGTTTGACCTGAGTGCTGAAGACACATCGATTAATAAATATGTTTAAGTTTGTGCGAGATAAAATTTGGGTGAACTTGTTCTGAAAGTAATTATACTGTGTTTAGGCATTTTAAAGGGATAGAATCTATCGGCTTATTTTTTTTTTGGACTCAAATATGACAGTTTGTACGTGTGTCATAGAGTCAGAAATGAATCTATTTTCTTTGTTGTTTACTCATTCAATAAAATCATCAATGAAATAAAACAAAATAAACTTGTTTAAATGGTTGTTTGAATACATCCAAAGGCACTTTTTCTCAAACAGAAAGTGTTTTGTCTTCATGTTCTCTATAACATATTATAAACATACCAATAGTTTGTTTAACTTGTTCTTGTTCAATCACAATAGGTTGTTTTTCAAGTTCATTACTCAAACGTTGATTTTCGATATCAAGTTGTTCATTTGCTGATTCTACATCGAACGAAAAAAAAGAAATGAGAAAATATAGATTTAGTCAACAGTGTAAATACTACCTGATTGAAGATCATTGTTGGTTTTTTCTAATGCACGATATCGTTGAGTAAAATCTTGTCTTTCTTTAGTGATTTGATTAACAATTTGCTGTGCAACTTCATCTAATAATGAACTTTCATCGATTGATAAGTAATTGTGAATTGTTTTTGAGAAATTATTAAGTTATATTTGTTGATATAGTTGCCATGCTCGATTATCTTCATTATGTTGCGTATATTCATTAGTAAGAAAAGTAACATTATCTGAAGTTGTTAAAGTTCCTATTCATATTTATTGAGGATAGATGTTGATTGAACAAGTGTCACATTATATATCTGAGAATTAACAGAAATATAAAATTGCAAAATATAAAGGAGTTTTATATACTTCATGGATTGGTGCAACATGTGTATGCTTCTTGGCATGATTCGAGTCTGATGACGTTGAATCTATAAAATAATTTTCATGAATAATCGAGTTTGTTGTAATGAATATCTTCCCAGGTGTCGGCATATTTCGTTCTTGTTTAAAATTGATGAATGATTGATTTTCAATTTGTTGATTCAAAATATATTTCTCAGTTTCAAGTTGATCATTCTGTTGTTGAAGCATCAACAGTTGTTGATTGAGTTCATCTGTTATGGTAAGATAAGTTTGTTGTATTGTTTGTTTATCATCAGTTGATTCTTAACAAAAACAAAAGAATCATTATTACTACGAGATAGAACATGGAATTTCTTACTAGAACAAAGGTCATTATTAAGTTTTTCAGAAGTCTGTATTTGTTCCATAAGACTTTCGCGTTAATTTTCTTGTTGATCAAGACGAGCAACAATATGTTGTATTATGTTATCTAATGAAAGACTATTTTCGATAGATAAACTATTTTGAAGTTTATTTCTAAAGCTATCAAGTTGGGTTTAATGGTATTGCTGGCATGTTCGATTAGCTTCATCTAATTGTGCACATTGTGTAGTCAAAGTAGTAAGATTTTCTGAAAGTTGATGAAGTTTTTCTTCATATTTATTGATGTCAGAAGCAAGATTTTGAATTTAATTCTATAAAAGAGATGATTATAAAAATATTTTGTAATTAGAAAACAAACTTCTTGAGATTGATCTCTTTGAATAGATTGATATTCTTCATTCTTCTGTTTGTGTATCTTTCAATTGACGAATATTGTCTCCTTGAAGTTTATTAGTGTTTCTGTAAACCATTCATATCAACATTTGTTTCTACACAAAGATCAACTAATATTGATTGTTATGAAAACAAAAAAGAGCCTACTTTTAATATCTTGCAAGTCAATGAGTTGATTATTTTAATCATTAAAACGATTTTCAATTTGTTGTAAAATATCCTCAAAAGATAGATTATCAATATCAGTTAATTTTAATTGATCATCACGTAATAATATTAATTGATTATGATGATATCGTTGCCAATTTTAATTAACTTCGTCTAATTGTTTTAATCGTATATTCATTAATACTAGATTTTTTCGAAGTTGACGAATTTCTTCTGTTTCTTGTTCATTCTTTACTTTCGGTGTTGATTGCACTAAAGAAATATGATGAATATGAGCTTGAAATAATATACTTTAATAGAGATAATCCTAAAGAAAAAAAAAACTAACGTTTGAAATTTATTCTATACAATATCGATCATCAAACATGGGAATGAATTGTAATTTTTCAAAATGTTTACGTAAAATTGTTTCATATTTTTTTATTTGTCCTTTTTCAATAAGATCATTTACAATTTGATGAAGATAATCTATAACTTGTTGTTTTTCTTGTAACATTCAACGTTGAGCAATGGATAATTGAGAACGAATTTGATTATTATCAAAACGAAGTATTTCAATAGTTGAACCTAAAGTAATAAATAATTTTATTATAAATAATAATATATTAAATTCAACATTACCTTGTTCAGCACTTTGTACATTAGCTTATTGTAATAATTTTTCAAATTCTTATTTACTTAATTTTGTATCATTAATATCATGATTTCAACGTATTTGCTCTGTATTAATTATTTCATAATCACTTTCAAAATTCATCATAGAAATTTCTAAATGACGTTTAACAAGTATATGATTGTCTATATAAACAGGTAAATTCACTATTTTTTTGTTTTAATTCATCAATAATACTTGTTTGAGCTTGAGCATTACAATGTAAATTTGAAATTTTTCGTGTTAAATTTCTATTTTTTTCTTTAATTATTTCATATTCTTTTTGTATTTGTTCAACAACAAGATTTTATTTTTCTTCTAAACAATTTTGAAATAAATCAATTTTTGTTTGATCATTATTTATTTGTATTATACTTAAACGTTGATGTTCACTTGAATTATTATTTATTATTTTCATTTGTTTTTGATATTCTAAACGTTCTTGTAAAAGAACACGAATTTGTGTACATAATGAATTAATATAATCATGAAATAAATTACATTCTTTATCCTATTCAACAAATATCATATCATCTGATGTGCCACTATAGGTTGTATCATGTTTCGATTGATTATCTAAACTTTGTTTACTTGCAGACGATGTAATGATACAATTAAATCTGTTTCGGAAAATGTTATATTACAATTTAATGAATTGATTAATTGTTGAATAGTAGTTGTACCAGATATAGAAGTTTGTTTTTTATGAAATGTTTCAAAATACTTCTCGATCTTCTGGATGGTGATTCAATATGATCAATTAGAATAAAATAATTATTGTCTGTTGATGATAAATCAAATGCTGATAAAATTGATTCTGTATTGATGTGATAAATTTTGAAGAGAATAGAAGATGATTTGTTTGATTTGATTGTTTAGTAAAATGAACTGAATGTGTTATTGATGATAAATTATTATTATTATTATTATTTGAACCATAAAATGGATTTATTTTTAATCGTGAAGAAAGTGATGATATTGGTATGAAATATGTTTGACCATATTTCATTTGTCTTATACGATCAACTTCTTTTTAATTATTAATAATTTGTTATATTATTTTTCTTAATCTAAATAAAACAATAAATATTTTTTTCGACATTCATTAAATGACACACACTTCTTGTTTATGATTAAAAATCGATATTGGTACAAATTTTTGTGTCATAAAGGTCAGTGAAATCGACTAAACAATGCGTAGAAACAACAAATAACATTTGAAATTATTTAAATAAGAAAGAAAAGATAATTTAACATCGATAGAGACATCTTCTGATTTAAGTGATAACTAAGAAGGAAAAGAAATCTGTATCATCGAATCAAGTCGATTAATTGTTTGTCGATTCTGACGTCATTTTTTTTTCTTTCTTTCATATTCATCAGCAAATAGATTACAGATTACATTCGTTTATTTGCTTGTTCAGACTACTAAATTCTTTTGTTCTTCTTTTCGAAATTTTTTGTCTCTTGAATTTGATGAATAAACTAGACAGCATTCGAGTTTCACTCAACTGTGAAATGTGGTGTGAAACTGAAAATCTCGATTATTGAAAAGTTGATACTTTGTAGTAAACAAATAATCATCTTTATAAATAACTATAAAACGTATCTCCCTTGAAAATATTTTCAGCCTACTATAATTAGTCTTCTGTCTTTCCTATGTATACTGAAAATTTATGTTTCGTTCACTTGATCTAATAGGAAAGTAGACATTACGATATTCATTACAAAGTCGTGTTGCTCCTGCAAATGTTGACGTTTTACTTGAGTCACGAAGTTTTTGTCGTTGTAGATTGAAAAAATCACATTTCCATCAATCAGATGATCTAACTTTCGATCAGCGTGAAAAGTGAGAATAACGAAATTCATCACTAGGAGAATTCTATCAACGCCTATGAAAAGTTTTTTAAAAAACACTGCTGATTGATCGTTTAATTATCTATATGATTTATTATTTATAATCAGCTATATTCACAGCTGTTTTATATACGAGCAAAGAGAGTGACGCCTAACTTTTGTTGATTTCTTCATTTTAATTATTTCAAAACGAAAAAAAGACTAAGTTCTGAAAAATTTGTCTTTTTGAGACGTTATTTGTTAGCGAAGAGAATGTCCTGGTGAGGATTGAAAAAATATGGTATCGATTGAATCTCAATACTTTCACATCATGATTAAATGAGTAAAATCCGGACAGAATTTTGTTTTCAAAAGAGAGATAGTATGTCTAACAGAATTTGTCTTCTGTTACTACTTATAGAATTCTCATTAAAAATCTCTTGATTTTTTAAAGATCTTCACTAGAATTTTTTTCATTACGAAGGACTTGGAAGATTTTTGTTTTCTTCTTAGAGCTATAGAATTCTATTCAAATTCTAGCGACTCTTTTAAATTTTCAGTAAACTTCTGTTCTCCGAAGAGCATTGCATATGATAAAGTTTATCATCTAACGCTAAGAATTAAATTTTGACAAAACTCTGCTGATTTTATAAATTTTATTGGTAGATTTCTGTTTCAACCGAATCGTTTGTGTCTAGCAATGAGTGTGGATAAGAAAAAAAATGATGTTGTAGTCTTCATTATGTTTGATCTGCTATCTAATATGGACGAGTCTACAAAATTCTACATTCTGCTTGTTAGACATTATGCCGACCCTCGTGACACATAGTCAAGATCTTAGTAATCAGTACACCCTAAGATAGCAGACCTATGTCGTAATGCTAAATGGACTTTATTCAATGTTGCAGCTCTAAAACCTTCAGAATAGACTCATCGTCACGAGAGAACTTTCTACTAAAATTTTCAAATGAATTAATCAAAATTATTATGAAAAAAGTCCATCTTACTAAAAATCAATATTCGTTCTTCAACAAATATTCTTAATAAGAAGACAATATCTCAATTATTTTACCGGGATTTTTAACAAAACTCAGACTAGAAAAAGCTACGACATTGATCTTTCGAATGAAGAACTGAACGAAAATATTTCTGCCAACATGGTTAAGATAAGGTAATCATAAAAGGAAAATGATATGTAAATCATCACTTCAGCACATGTGAACTGATGTATAGGGTGTCCAGTAAGTCACGAAACAGATACTAAAATTTGAATATCTCCATTATGACTCGACCAAACGGGCTCACTTTTTTTTTACCAAGAATAGAGGCATGTTCACGTTCCAAATCCAAATACATAAGTTTAGTGAGAACCTTTGTTACGTATCACTATTGACTTCAATAAGAAAATTTTACTCTTTCACAAATAGAAAAAAAAAACCAATATGCAGGATAGTACAAAAGTCATTTTATCAAAAAGAAAATCGAATATCTCCATTACGGCTTGAGCAAACCAGCTGATTTTTTTTACCAAGGATAGAGGTATGTTCACACTTCAAATCCATATAAACAAGGTTAGTGAAAAGCTTCGTTAAGTATATTGTTTTCTTTTTTCCTATCTTTGGAAAACCAAAATTCTCTTATTGAAGTCAATAGTGATACTTAGCAAAAGTTCTCATTAACCTTATCTGTATGGATTTGGAGTGTGAATATGTCTCTATCCTTGGTAAAAAAAATGAGCCCATTTGGTCGAGCTGTAATGGAGATATTCAAATTTTAGTATCTGTTTCGTGACATACTGGTAGAGCCCGTCGGGTAGGACCCGGACCCGAGCGGGTCCGGGTCCGGATCCGGGTCTGAAAATTTTTTATTATCGGGTCCGGATCCGGGTCTGACAATTTTTTATAATCGGGTCCGGGTCCGGGTCTGAAATTTTGTTATACCCGGTCCCGAGCCTGACTCTAAAAACTGATTTCATACAAAAAATGACTTTTTAAAATATCTTTTGAATTATCGACCATTTTATTCAAAAAGCAATTATAGATTAACTTATAAAAATAGAAAAAAACAATACAACTTGCGGAATATAGTATCTAAGTCTCTTAATCATTATAAATATATAAAGAAGACAATATTTGATTTCATGTTGTCTTAATTTGTTTGTAGAAAT